GATCAGAAGTCTACTGATACGTTTGGCAGGCGCGCGCACAATGAGAAATCGTTTTCGGTGTGAACCTGTTGCCCGATCCATGTAGATTGAGATGCAAGCAGCCAGGTGAGGTGTTTAATGCTAACGAAAAAATTAACGAAAGCGAGAAGCCCGTGATGAGGAGATCCACGGAGCGCGACCACTTTCTGGTACGTGGATCTTTCATGAGTTAGGAGACGGGTGTTAGTTTTCAGCAAGTGAGCGAGTCTTCGAACGAAGTCTTTAAACATCGCCGCAACAGCCGTCTAATAACGCGACACCGGTAATTGCTGACTAATTTGGCGGAAATTGGCTCCATTTGACGATGAGGTGCTAGCGTGGCTACCGGGGTTCACGAGGCTCTCGGTGGCTAGACGAGAGCTCCAGCGGCGCTGCAATCTTTGCCTTTCTGTCGCTCAATAACTCCATTCAGGCGTCACGGCCCTCCCTCGAGAGGAATTAACAGGTCGCTGGAGCGGGATACCCCGTTCTCGTGAATCACACATATTCTCTCCTCTCGCGACTAGAACTTCTACTTCATGCACAAAATCTTGCCTGAGTCCGCCGGCGGGCGATGCATATGCTCCCCCTCGGATTCGAAGCGAACGAGCAAATGAGATAAGCGACCTTGTCGAGCGACCGAGAAACGTCAAGAGGATTGTGACATTACGTGCAAACGGATGGCTCCAGTGCGATTGCTCGGCTCGTTCTATTGGTCACGGAACCAACAGTCGATTTATCTGTCCGTCTGTTCATTCGTGTGTCAGCCCGTCCCTCCGTACATTCGTCCATCTAAATTGTGGCGGGCTGAAGCTCATCAGACGTATGCTCCCTGCTTTCTGACGCCTACTCAGCCAATGGGAATAAATCAGATATTTGCTTCACTTCTTGACATTGGCTTCATTGCAGTCAGTCACTCTAGACACCCATTCGAACAACGAAACGAGCGATAAATACGACTGATCCGTAACCGCTGAAGGGTGTTGTGGTCGCCTGTACATTGGTAAACGAATTGAGCAGAGGATTGGAAACGAAAAAAAAGTGCAGCAACACACCGGAACGGCCGCACGCCATGGACGCCGGAATTCAACCTGGATTCAATTCGGTTTCGGTGGGCCGCCGCCACCGCCACCACCGCTGACGTTGACTGCTGCTGCCTTCCGTTGCTCCTTGAATATAAGTGATGACGCTGCTGGTTCTACATAGAAGTTGCCCTCAAGGGACAAAGTAGTTGACGTCAGAGGCGATTTCTTTTGAACGTTCCTCTTAGTTCGAAGCTCATCGATTCCTGCCGATAGCTCCTGAAATCTGCTCCGTTCTCTCAAGATTATCCAAGGATATATTTCTACGCAATGCATTTCGCATTACAGCGAATTTCCCTCGAGCGCCACCAGACTCAAATCCGGAGTGGGTTGCGAGCTATCTGAAACGTCGACCGGGGGTTCGCGTAATTCTCGAAACAGCCTCTAACTCGAATCTAGCTCTGAATTTTCAGTCACTCCCTGGAAAACTTTATTCTTTGCACACAAATCAGGGCTCCATCCGCCGACGAGAAATCCTCGCTCTGCTATTGTCGCTGGTGCAGCTGCTTTCGTACAACTTTTGGTATTATGATGAGTCGCGGCCGCGGCGAGAAGACCTCCCCAAGTTCGTCGTCGAAGGAGACTTTGTGTTAGCGCATGCGCATCGCTGACCTGCCGGCAATCACTACTTTCGCCGCCGTCACCATTCTTCTGCTGCTGTGTAGTGCTGTCGCGCTGTTGAATTTTCTCTTGCATTCGACGATAACATCACTCTTTCGCTTCACATTCCACGAAATGGACGCCAGGTCGGAACACGCGCGCGACATCGCTCGTCATGCAACTGAATCCGCTCTGTGAGCCGATTGAATCTGCAGATCAAGTTCACCGCTCGTTAATTGAGCGGGGATCTAACATTACCGTCTCACGTAACTGAGCGCGATAAGCGCAAACATTTGACTCTCGGAGAGCGAGCAGATTCCGGAGTTCTGGAGAAAGACGCGAGCGTACTCGCTGCCTTGGAACAGCGCGCCTTCCAATCCCATCTGGATCGCGACGCCGACGCCCGTGACGTTGGAAGGCAGAGTAGAGAGCTGACATTGTGTCGCGATGCGTCTGAGGCCGAATGCGCATCGCGTGAAGCTCCGACGGCCTTGTCTGTTCGGATACCAGCCTCTCCATATGGCCGATGGGCTTAGTTTGAGGTCTGATAAGTGGCTGGCTCGGTGCAGGCTCCCTCCTCACAGTCGCTCTTCTGCTGACAGCTTGCAGTTGAGATAAGATCAAGCTCGAGTTCGAGATTTGGGAGAGGGAACGACGAATGGATTTCGATGAGTGAGAACAAGATAGAGACTTCACGCTCCGAAGATTCAATGTCGGTCCCCAGACCATGTCAGCGACTCGCTCCGATCATTTTGCTGCTGCTTTTTGACCGGTGTAAATCAAAGTCCCCGCCGAATCGTCGGATAACTCTGGATCCCATTGAAAAATCGGGGACTCCTTATTCGGGTCAGTCAGCCTTTCCGATCGCCTCATTGGCTAGGTAGCCTGAAAGTACTCTAACAGAATGGGAATTCCGGAGAATGAATTGAAATCCGCCGATCAATCCGCAAGAATCTCAGTGAGCGAGTCCGGACCGCGATCCAGCCCTGGGCCCATCCCGAAGGATCGCTCCGTCGAGATTCGCTGCTGCTCCACATCGCACGGAGATTCAAAGACAATATTAGTTCGGGTAATAATATATTTTCCCCGAGTTTGCTATATTTATCCCTCGGAACAATTCCCTCATCGAGTTTCTCCGTTGCAACTCCCGCGCTGAGTCGAGCTCGACTGTCTACGGCTGAATGACTCCCAAGCCAAGGGGCCATTGTTTTGACTTTTCGCTCGTTCGCGTCTGCGATGCCAGCTCGGATTCTGTGCTGGTGGCTATGAAATTCTAAAATACGTTGCTCTACGGCGAGCCTTGCAACGGTCGAATAAGGCTTTGCGAAGGTGGCGCGCGGATGATCTGTCCGATGAGAAATGTCTAGCGCCGACCTGGACTCGCCGCCAGCAAGAACGGCAGCCGCCGTCGTCGTCGCCGTTGTGAGTCGAGTATTTCATTTCTGCCTCGAATATCCATCGGATGGAATTCCAGCCGCAACGAGAGAACAACGTATCGAATATCTGACGTTCCGTGATTCCATCAAACAACCGCCATCATCATCAACAACAACATTACCGTTCTTATAGGCTCCGCCGATGGAAGTCACTGCTTCCAGCGTTCAGTCTTTGTCCAAATATACACGACGCTGACGTGTCGGATTCGGGGCCCGAACAAAGCAGGCGCGAGCATGTGATCTGGTCGAGATCGTCTGCGACGGCGTTCGCCCTCCGTCGCTTCGTTTCCGACAGAGAATGAAGGACGAGGGAGGCGATCGTACGCAGAATGGCCAACTCGAAGAGAACGTTTTCGCTCCGCGGGATGTTCGGGGAACGGTTTCCCCTTTTTCCTAACCAATCGGAGCCCGTCGCCCTCACCGGAATCAGTCATACGTAGTTCGTCCCATGCCGGAACCGCGCGGGAGGACGACCGTGGACCCTAAATACTTGTATTTAATGTATGGAGGCGAGCTGGTCGATGTGTTAAGCGGGTAAAGTGCTTTCAACGCCAAGATTCATCGTCTCAGATTCCCAGACTCTGCCGCCGCTGTGTCGAGACGATGGCTTCTTCCTTCGCTCGCTCAGTCAGTGGTTGCTGCCAACCTATTTGTGAGCACGTATTTGCTCTAGGCAGTCGAGCGGGCAGGAAGGCGCTTAAGCGACGTCGTCGGCGACGAGGCAAGATCCGCTACGGCGTTTTCGCTTTGGCCACTCTTTCTGTCTATCGTGCTCTATCTGTCTGGCTCTCTATCGTTCATTTTCTCGTTCAACCTAGCAGTGGATCGAGTTACGGCGACGGCGGAGCTGACGTGGCGAAACACGAGAGCATGCAGCGCGGGGCATGCCGCAAACCAGCCTTGCTGCTGTAAACTATTTGAAATCGGGCTACACCGCAATCACGGGCCGCCCTGTCAAACCTGGGAAAGTTTTTCATGGCTTGTAAGAGTCGGCCGATGCTTCGGCTCGCGCAACCACATGGATTTCGAAGGATCCGATGAATAAGAATTCTCCCATCGGTGTTCGGGAGGCGGCCGCCTTGTTTTAGGCGAGCTCTCGTCTCAGCTCGAATCGCTCGCGGCCATAATGTATGTATGGCCTATATGGCCGAAGCTCGAACAGCCGCTCGTGCGACCCGAGGCAGTGGTCGTGGAGAAATCACCGGGTTAGCTGAGTGAGGTCGCGCCATAATAGACTATTAAGTGTAAGGCACCCCAAGTGCTCCAGACTAACGCGGCTGGAGCCGGCCGAGGTTGGAGCGAGCGACCAACACATCCTGCCCCACCAAAACTCCACCTTACATAATGGAAGTGCCGCGCGTCACGAAACAGCTCCGTGCGACTCAAACCGAGAGATCAGTGTATCTCCCCACATCGCGAGCCATAGCTCTGCTCGTCCGCTGGAAGACACTTAGTTAGTTAGGAGAGCCGTCGGGGACTTGCGGCGTCTGGGGGAACGCACGAGATCTGAAACGACCTGGAGAGATTCCCTGTATCGCGTATTTTGAAGATGCTCGCCGAACATGAGCTCTCCCTCGACTCAGCGCCTCTTTGTCATGGATTGCGTCTCTATTGCGTCTCTATTGCGTCGATCGTTGCGCACGATGGGACGATAGCATTTCGAAGAGCTGAACCGGTGGAGCGGTTGGCCGCTCGACCGTAGTGTCTCCCCACCGAACTCATGAAATATCTCGAGACTTACATACATCATGGGTTGTACGATGAAGATGATTACGTGATGAGGTTCAGGCGATGGAGGATACACTAGTCAACGGGGAACAGGGATAGTCGATCTAATTGTAAGTTTCGATTTCTAATTTTGCAGCCGAGACAGCCAAGCGGGCAAACCGACGAAGAGCGGCTCATCCGGTGGAATATCAAACGCAGATCCCGAAGACGAAGAAGAAGAGTCTGACAACTCGTGTCTGTCCCCGGAGCCAACGACAGATCTGCATACTGCCGTCAATGATCTCGTTCAGGGCTCGGCGGCATCGGACACGCTCAAGATGCTCCAGGGCTTCAGCCACTACCACCAGCAAACCCAGCAGTACACCAAGGTGAGTTATTGTTCTCTCGATCTTACAGCAGAGCTCGTTTGAGATAGTGAGGTCACTCAGCCCAGGGTCGACCATCGAGTGGAGCTCGAGCTTCTCGAGCGCTATTGGGCCTTGGTCTTCACCGAGCCGGAGAACAAAATCAAATAATTTACCTAGCTTCCTCTCACGTTTGAGGAAACATGGATCCGCAAAGAAGTGGGACGGATTTTCCCCGTTGACCGTCGTTCAGCTCAAGTGTACAATGTCTTCATAAATCGCGACGCTTTCAATAGAATCGTTGTTCTCTTCTCACGATGCATGCCGTATTAGTCGTGTAGCGCGGTGAGGCTGACGGCGTCGACAATAATGTCACGAATCGTCTCGTATCTCAGAATAACACGTATCCCGCCTTCTATGTAAAGCCGTGGCAATTTTTCCAATCGAGCGTTTCCAGCTACTGGAACCGTATCTTTGTATCATTATCCTCGACGTACAAGAATAATTACTCGGCGGGCGAATCATTAACCTCCTGAATACTGCTCTGAGAATTACCTCGTAGCGATCGTCCGAAAGTCAGGCGAAAATATCGCGATACGATGGGTTGTATCCACCAAGAGCCCCGTGCACAGACTGTGACTTAGGAAACCCGCAGGTCGAGGAAGACGGGCGCCCTCGAGTTTCCCGTATGGCTCCCCATCTCGTCAACTGAGTTTTGCTCGGAACATCTCGTCTACATCTAGCTCCTCATCTTGTTGTTGCTTCTGCTTCATAAAACGTAGCAGAATTCGAAAACGACTCGAGAAAAGTCGTGACTGGTTCATCCCTTCGAGAGAAGAAATCTACAAGGAATTAAAACCGAAACACAGATGAGAAGAAGGATGCAGAAGTGTTCCGAGCAGCAGAGAGGAGAGCCAGCAGCTTGACTTCTGAACGAAATCGAGACGCGCCACGACAAGAGGCTTTAATTACAAAATCGGAATCGAGACGTTTGCTTTTCCCTCAAAGCGCGGATCTGAGTTCGTCTTGAAGTAGTGGAATTTTCATTTTTCGTGACTTTCGCGGAGATGTAAGGAAGAGCTTATACGCGCGAGATCCCGCCTGCAATCATACTCGGTAGTGATGCGATAAACTGCTCCGATTCTCTTAAACCGGGATCTCGCTCGGGAGTAGTCCTGAGGTGATGAGCTAGCGGTCTGTTCGATGCCGAATCTCCAATGCCGTTCTGAAACGCGCTGGCTTGGATGGTCGAGCCGCTGATACATGTTCGGCAGCCCACTTCTCGGGCTACCATGGATGTCTGCTCGTCCGCCTGTGCGTTGGAGACGTCGGATCGCATCGACGACGGGTTCGATTAATTGGGTGTGTCTCTTTTTCTCATCAACGATATTCGATCTCGATATTTCTCCTGGTTGATCTCTGTCTTCCGTCAGGGAGCCCGATCGAAGATGACTATGAACGGCCGATGTCTCGGCTCCGAGCATGCTTATGCACTGGAAGCGAGCGTGACCAAATTATGTCTAAATTTGATTGCTTTCGACGGGAGGGATTCGGCACGCTTCGATGGCATAATTATTATTGAATCCATAGTCGTTGACAGCGGAGTCTGCCGGCGCTCCGAATCGGGGGCTAAAGGCTCACAGAGTGCCTTCTGGTGATGACCCTTCCGGTCGCGGCGCCGCTATCCGATTAAGGCCATCAGTGAGTGGAGGCGCATTGAGCTCCGGGCTCCGTCCGTACCGAGATCCACGGCTCCTCTTTCTCATTCCTTATTTATCTGTTCCTCGCGCCTCGTCCGATTCCGAAGGGTAGGACTCGTTTCGAAATTCAATCATTTAAAAAGCAAACCACGAACTACCCGAGCAGGGACTCGAAAATCAGACGCAGAAACACAAGTTACAAGGTAATGGACCCGGCACGACGGCGATCACGACGCCCGCAGTTTCAAATTGAGAAACGAATGTACTTTGGATTGAAACCCCGAGCAAGAGAAAATAAACGAGAAAAAAACTTCAGAACACGGATCCATAGTTTTCTGTGTCGGCGGGTCTGGCGCGCTCTTGAATGCTGCCTCGGGATTAATCGATCTTAACGATTCTCCGACATGGCACTCAATTAGGCGCTGGGTTAGCCCGGCAGCGCCCTGAGGAAAACGAGGACGCTCCTCGTTATCCGGCATGTCACCAGATGATTTACTGTACCTCTGGCACAGAGGGAACTTCCAGAAGTCTTCTTGTGTGCACTTCGACAATCCCAAGGTAGACATTTCGGAGCGGTCGTTCGGCATGGATTTCTCAAAACGTCTCTTCCAATTACAGCACTCAATCCATCACTTGTTTGGTGGTTCTTCGATGGATTCATTGAAAACAGCCGTTGCTTCGTTTGCGTCTTCAGCGCCCGGAGATGTCATAACATCAACCGCAACCCAGCTCGCAGCCCAATCATCGCTGCCGTCAGCCGGCTTCAGGTGAGTTCTGCAAGAGCACACGGAATGTTTCCGACGGGGAAGAAGAGTTCTCCGAAGGGGAAAACTTTGAAGAGACGTGGTAAGCTCTCAAAAACTGACACGATTCTGCTTCCAATTACAGATTTGATTTCGCGGCAGCTGGACTCACGGCAGGCTTAGCAGCCGCTGCCGGAGCTACGGCTCTCCCGCCTGAATATCATCATCCTTTACTATGATGTCATCCATGATCTACGTTGAAATTCAGGCTATGGTGCAAAGATGTTTAAGTAGCCGTTTCGGAGGTTTTTTAATATAATAAGCGAAAGTGAATGAAACGCTCCTCCACGGAGTAAGTGACCCTAGTCACGTGACCTCGAGAGGTCACGGAGAAAGATCAAGTGTGCACTAAATTTCCAAGAGATGAAGGCGAAGCAGATGAGAGAGCAACTTGTCGACTCATTTCGAGGAGAACCGATGATTCTGCGAAATCTAGTTCAATGTTCAGGGATTATTGCTTCTCGCGAGAACTGAAATGAATCGGAACGAGCAGAGAGAGGAAGAGAGATCGCGGCGCGAGATCTTATGAATGACATGGAAATTCAGACCACATTCTTTGGGAAGAAATTAGAACGCATCGAGCGGTATTCTCCCCCTAGCTGCCGGAGAGAAGGAAAACACAATCGCCCGATACAGGTGCATGACGTGGAGCGGTGGGGCGTGTGCAATAAGTAGGATTATTGGATTAATTTCATCCTCAATATTGTGACTTAATCACGATCGCGAACATTTAGGAGAGGAGACCACTTTGTGACACTTCAGCTACAACACGGATCAATGACAGAAACCAAGAGAATACTACATCAAGTTATCTCCGCCCACTACGATGAAGATAATGATGATGATGATGATAACCATCATCATCAATCAATGACGAGTGTATATTCTTTTTCTAATTTCGATGAAACTTAGCGAGCATGTATGACCTTTTGGATTCGTCACACGGTGACAACAGTTTCAAGCAGCGGCTTTCTAGAGGATACAAATAATGAGAACAGACACTTGAGATCATTCCATAAAGAGAGAGGGAGTGTAAATATTCAGAGGATACGAAGATCACAATAAATTTAACTTATTAAGTTCACGGCGATAGCATGATCTTCTCTATCTGTCGGTGCGGCGGTGCGACCCCCGCTAATCTCGCTTGCTTTTGCACTAATTTGTTCATCAGAATATCAACTACCTGGAAACGGAGGTTAGCGGTCGAGGGTAAGCTCTTGCTGGGGGTTTCCTTCCGGGCATTATTCCTTGCGACGGCAAACGTTGTTCGTCTCGCGCCGAATCGATATCGGTTCGGATACAGACAAAATTGACAGTGAAGACTCTCTTCGTGTCGAGTGAAGTTCACGCGAGGCGAAGCCAGTCAAAGAACGTACACGTCGAAGCTCCTCTTCGCATATTGAGCCTCTCGCCAGCCCCTGCTGGCTCGTTATGGTTATCAAAGAAGATGGAAGCTGCTTCTCCTTCAGATCCTGGGGTTTTGTCGTGCACAACGGTCACCGTTGTCATGACGCGAAGACCACCCGTTTGATCGCACTAGCATCTTCTATCGCCATTCATCTCGTTGAGTCAACTGTGCCCATGCGGAGTCCACAACGGGCAATGTCCTGTCTTATTCGAACTCCGGAAGCTTCCTTCAGGTCTTATGCTCGAGCGCAGTAAGGTTCTTGATTTCAGCGTCGAATCGACGCATCATCACTTTCCACCCATCGAATGATACAGGAGTCAGGCACTCAGATCATGCTCACCCTTTTCCGCAGGCTTTGTAAGGGCATTCGACCGTCGTCGTCTCCCCGTCCGGTGAAAACAAGTGATTCAGAGAGAATAGTCGCGTAAATCCAATCATTACACAAAGAACTCCTAATATCCCGCTGTTCAGATTGCTGCTGTTGGTGCTGTCGAGAAGCTGCTCTAAGATCGAACCGCGGGGATCCTTCGAGCACTTTTCGGCTTCACTGCTGAAAACAATCATTAGACGCATCACTCAGCGGAGGGGCCGATTGCCGAGGAGCTTTATCGAGCGAGTCCCACAGATATCCACACTCATGACGGCGCCGCAAAATCGACCGAAAAACTTCGGTGAGAACCTCTACACTCGCTCTGTCATAATCGATGACGCGAATGAATTCAGAGATAGCGGAATTAGTCACATTGACGCACTCCTGTTGCAGTGGAGCTTCTCGAGCTATCCCCAAGAATACGTCACGGCACAGTTTGTGGACGGTGTGTGCGAGCTGCGGAATGGACATCTGCATACCAGCAGCATAGAAATTAATACTCCTCCATCGACTCGGGAGGCGTTCGAACGAAAATCGATTGAATCATTCCAAGGAGGATTTGCTGTTGGAATCGAAAGAGAGAGTTGTCTCGCGTGAGAATCAATGGATTTCGAGCGGTGGGGTCTGAATGAGTGAAGCAGACCCCGCTGAATCGGGCTGCGAACGTCGATTCGGTGCGTTGTCGAACGATGCCATGCGACGCCATGCAGCGTCGTCAATGGACGCCAGCTACAGATGCTCGGCACTCACTGTGCAGTTCCGCGACCGCTGAAGGAAGGACACTTCTTGACTTGTCAAAGAAGTGTTATTGTGGTTTTTGTCGTAACCGCCGAGGTCGGAGTCAGTTTGACTTTGCTCACTACTGAGACCGTTTAGCGGAATGCGTGCTGCGCGGAATTCTACGCCAGGGGGGACTCGATCGAACGGCGAGCGGCCGAGCGAGTGTTCCCCCTCTTCTTTACAACGGTAAGGAGAGAGTGCGAGAAGACACAACGAGAGACGAAGTGTGACAGAAATTAAGCGAATTCGTGTATCATGAAAAGGAATCGAGGAATGCAAACGGGACCGACTCAAGTGCGTCACGGCACCGCCGACGATCACACATGTGCAGAGGCATCGGATGACTCCGCTTTCCTTTTTCTCGCGTGGAGCTCTCTCCGCATGATTGTACGTCGAACGATAAGTGGATTTTAATCTCCACTGTCTTCTCTTCATGTTTCGGCTCGATGACGAAGGTTTCTCTGTTGTGACGTTTTGAGCGCCAGTTAGGCCCCGAAGTTCGCTTCGAAAGTCGGCGTCTAGGTGCATCATCTGCTAAGTAGGTGTTAGCAAATGCTTGCTCGGCGTCAGTCACAGCGCTCGAAGCTTCTCCTCTGGGGGTCTCCAGAGCGATCCAGCAGATTGACAGCCTTGAGTGACGGCCGTACGGGTTGGCCACGCCGTTTATTTTATATACTTACTTACATACATACCTACACACACACACTCACTCACTCACTCACGCACGCAGATACACTTAGCGTTGAACTTCCGATAGAGCAACCGAAAGCAGCTAACAGATTTTTGATAGATGACAAGCGATCGAGGATGATGCTTCTTTTCGCAACAACGCAGATTTTTGAGGGATGAGCTTCTGGATACAGGACCGTACTCGCATTTGGCGGGATATCGGAGGTTAAATCCCCGCCCGAGCAATGAAAATATATTCGAGGATTCAGATGCGTCAGTTATGAGTTGGAGGCATCTTCGTTTCGAACGAACGATTCTCTGTTGCCTCGCAGCTTCCACAAAAGGTGAAATTATCTCTTTAACGCAATGAATCATAATCACGGCTCGTGGCCGACGCAGATCGGGCGGAAGACCACCTCACCGATCATGAAGACACCGATCAGAACCAGCCAGCTTGTTGTTGCAGCTCGCCTCGCGCGTTACCTTCGATTCCCATAGGACGACGACTGCCTGCCGTATTCGGTCGGTTGGACATAGTCGCCGCCGCCGCCAACCACGGCTTGTTGGTCGATCCACTGGCTCGTTCGTTCGTTCGTCCGTCCGTCCGCTCGCACGCTCGCCCGCTCAGCTCGGCTCGATGAAGACCCAGTTGAAGATGTTGACGAAGACGCATTGCGGCAGACACTTCACAATAGATGAGGTGTCATCGCCTTGCCTCATCATCTTTCTGCCGGGCAATGGAGAAAAATCGCTCCAATCAGCAATAACAGCAGCAACCACAACGACGAGGACTACAACAACAGACACAACTCGTGTACGCGCACGAACAAGTCGACGGATGGATTTTTCAGATGTCTAACATCCAACAATGCCGTCAGCCGTCCGCCAGCCGCAGATGAAGCCTTCGTGAGGAGCATTCAACAAGAGGACTTCTTACAAACGAGAAGAAAATCCAAGGCAGAGAGCCACTGCTCGGACGGGAGCTCAACTCGACCGCCGACAAGATCGACGAGACATTTCGTCGTCGAGGCCGAAAAGAGAAATCATGGACTTGTGGCGATTCCTCGCTTTTCCCCATCTCGGGTCTCGTGGTTCTATATTTTCGAAGAGCCTGAAGGAGATCCAGATGGAAGCGATGGCAGCTGGGAACCGATCTCGCAGCGAGAGTCATCGCGTGGAATCCAATCAGACAATCGAATCCCTCAGAGCAAGTTGAGGCCTCATGAAGCTTTCTCTCGTGCAGATAGTCCGGTCGTGATTATCCGAAACCTCATCTTTGCTTCCTCCAACTTACGATCATCCGAGAATCTTTCTGTTGACTCCTCCCGGGACCAACCTACCTTGAACGGGACAGGGGACCACGACGACAGAAGCCACATAATGTGAGAGCACGAGCAGCCCCAATTTTCCTAAATCCTCATTTTCCGTCCTAGTTGAATGGTCTCTTCGCGGGGTATCATTTAACGGTCTCTCTCGATACAATTTCAGAGGAGCTTGACTGATTCATCAACTCGATCATCCGCGAATAAGTCGATGAGATCCCAGAATGGTCGTACGGAAGGCCCCCTCGTTATGGCATCTATCTTTTCGAGATAAGCAAAAAAAAAGATGGGTTCTCAGCGTAACTGATAAGTTGGAGAATTCCCGCTAATATCTTTTCCCCCTCGACGGAAACTAATACTACACAAATTTTTTGGTCGTACGCAGGCACCAAATGATCGCTCGGCGAGGTGCTCCGGCAGAACTCGCGCGTCGATCCGCATCGGTGATAAGAACGTTTGGCGAGCAGTAAAGTCGATAAAAGGTCAGAAATGTGCCCGTTATTGTGCTGAGACCCTTCATGCTCGATAAGAATTGTATCCACAGATGAGAGCAAGGAGGGTCTACCCCGGATCTACGCACGATACCTAATCGACGTTTTCAGAGAATTCTTCCGACAGCAACATCGTGATTGCCGGACATGCGAGCCATTGTCCGAGAGCTATGAATTCCATCTGATCCTCGAGTTCCTCTGACGACCTGGAGGCCGAGACAGCAGTGACAGTCGGCTCCAATGGCCATGCCGACCTAAATAGTGATCCTCAACGGTTGAATTCCCCACGATCGGGATTCGTTTCCAGAATTGCACTCAGCACGGGATCATACATCGACATTGTTTCAATTCATAAACTGAATAATAGCGATCCACCACAATCTTGACGCAGCCGAACAAGCGTGTTGGATGAAGGCGTGAACCCATTTATAGAGGAGCGGCTTATCAATCTGCTTCTTAATCACGGCTAATGTAACGGTCATTATGTTTTATCAAGAGAAGGCGGCGCCAGCCGTTCGGAAGAGCCGGTAGGATGGGGAAAACTATTGTAGATTCATGGTGATCTTCGGGAAACAAATCAGGGACTCGTTCCAACGATTCGGCGAAATCACAAAGTCAATCATTTCACAGAACCCCGGCATCGCGGGGCACGAAACGAACTCGCTGAGAAAAACTCTCCTCCGCAGAGTTTCTGACACTCATATCTTGCTCCATCAACGACGAGCAAAGGAGACAAGTGCTACGATAAATACGACCTGGCGTCGTTCCAAGCTTCTCCGATTCCGGGTCAGATCGAGGCTGCCATCAAACGCTCCACAGACTCTTTCGGAAGGTACCCACTTTTCTGTGGTTCGTGCCAGCCCGGATGCCTGACGACTGTCACACCAAGCATTCCATCGATGATGAGGGGAACAAGTCGTAAGCTGTGAGGTCACGGATCCGCGAACTTGAGTACGATTCTCAGGATGGATTCGGACAAGCGGGAAGTTCGAGGAAGCCGGAAGCTTCGAGTTGGACTGAGGATATCTTGCGGGAGATCTCGCCCCCATCGGGATCTCGTGCGCGCTCTGCCTCCGTGATTTGATACCAAGCGTCTAGAACGCTCCGTATGAGGAGTCAGCGAACGTCTCGGTGGGATCACGAGAGAATCTCATGTTCAGCAGTCCTTCCGTCAGACGGAGGCACGGCCGAGGAAGCGAGCGAACGAGCGGGAGGACAAGCGGGCAGGAGGTTGAGCGGCGCCCATCATCGAAGTGATCAACCCAATCATTTGGTCGCAATTGAAACTTAAGGACCGGAGCTTGTCTTCACTCGTGTTGACGCTCCAGATTGACGGACTAATTTCACGTTGTCTCAGTGATCCGAAAGCCGATCGCCGTGACGCGGAGAGGCAACGAGACAAGCTGCCACCCAATGCGCATCAGATGTGAGATGCTCTCTCGCTCTCTCACCGCCAGCCTCCTTCATGGCTTGAAACTGACTCAGGAAATTTCGAATGCGGGCTTCCCCGCCTCTGGCCCACCACGGGGTTTTCGGATTATGAGAGATATTATGGCCGACTGTCACTAGATTGAACGCGCGCCCTGGGGACCCGTGTCCCTATATGTATTCTTCCAGATCTATCCGCGAAACGGTCTCCTCTCTCTTCCTGAAATTCTGGTCATGAGGGGCCTCTCGATTCCTGAACGCCCTGCGCTGGGGGCGAAAACTTTCCTCATATTTGGCTTTGTCTGGGGGGAGACTCTTCGTCAAATTAATTGACTTGGCTATAGCGGCGATAGCGGATCTGGCATCAGACTTCTGGATATGGCTGACTGATTTCCAGCCCTCGGTCCGATCCCTTCCAATGCTAATCCAATCGGTTATAGCTTATAGCGCAGCTATTCTTGCGAGCAGGAAATTCGAGATCGATCGCCCATTGTACGATTTGCGAGGTTCTCGCCCTTACGTTCGATCTCTCGGTTCCCCGGCAATTCGGGGAATCGGGTCATAACCCGGGAGTCGGCCCCAGAGCACCTAGCATAGCATGCAGGGGGAGGGGCGGGGAGACGATAGAAGCTGGACCTCGATCGATGTCGAAGTAATCCAGAGCGCCCATCTTCACATCTGATGGGCTGCGGTGTCTTTTTTTAAGGAGGTGACTGAATGATTTAGAGAATCGAGATACATTGGAGAACTCCATGCGACCTTCGGAACAAGAGCGGTAAGCTCAGGGAAGGAGATCTTCCTCTCGTGGGCAAGCAATACCTGCAGCGGACACCTACGACAACATGGAGGGCAGAATAACGACGAGCTGTGAAAATTCGACTAAGAGACCTCTTTGAAACTTCCGATCAAACTAGCCTGGTAGCACCAAGCATCAGCCCCTGCAAGGGCATCGCGTAATTCGCGGGACGAAGACCCAGTTTACTTTATTTACTTATTGTGTGGCTCAGAGTTTCCTGATGTATCATTCAAGCTCGCCAGCGAATCTGTTTCTTTTGGGATTCCGGCGGCTTGAGAATATGCGTATTTGCTTGAAACCATCCTTAACTGGAGCCGGCCCCGGAGCCTCTCGCATCCTCATGCAGGCACGGTGCTAGAAGTCGAACCTAGGTCGATGTCGAAGTGCTTCAGAGCAGGAGGTCGATCAGATTCGACCCATCTTGGCATTTAATGGGCTGCGGTGTCATTATTTTCAAGGAGTTGCTGCGTAAGCGCTCCCGGAGCCAGTCGAGACGCGAGTCGCATTCCAATGGGTTGCCTATGAAGCAATATAATCGCGACCAATGAATGATCCTTTTGATCTTCGTATTCTCAGAAGATGAATTCAATCAAATCGGGAAGGGTTGCTGCGGGTCCTGCCAGTACCATGGAGGACGATGAATTCGCTGAATGAGGCGAATGTCTCTTCGTAGAGAGTTTTGAACTTGTTCGATGATAAGTCCAACATCTTCAGGCTCTTCATATCTGTCAGGAAATCGTCCGGCAGCCACTGAAGGTTGTTGTCCCTGAGTAGATGATACAGATTATCGGGGCGTCGACAGCATGGCAGTAGGAAGATAAATTATGCGTAAATGAGGGTCGGAGCTCACTTTAGCCATAGGTTCTCGAGATTCCCCACATTTTCTGGTAGATCCTCGCGCCTGATTTCTTTCAGATTCAGACCGGAGAGAGACAAGGTTCTGAGATGGTTGAGCGGTGCGATCTCGTCGCCTCGCCACACGAGATGAGGTAGGTTCTCGAGGATGAGTTCTTGAATCTGGGTTTGTTGAATCTTACCGACCAGACTCGCCAAGAAAAGGGCATTGGGGTAGTTCTTAATCACGAGTTGTTTCAAATCATCCAGGTACCTTGAAAGGAAAACATTATCCGCTTGTGCACGCGAAGATTCCCACATGCTCACGTTCACCGCAGCTCCGAACGAACCCGATCTGGCTGAGGTCGCCATCGCGTATGTCGGTATTGGAGAGGATGAAATGTTCGACGCCGGATCCTTTGAAGAGTCTATTGCCTGGGATCGGCTCCGTTAAAGATTCGAGAACCGAATTACTGAGAACGAACTCGAGGGTGTCTATGAATTGGAAGGTCGTCGGCGGCAACCACTCGAGTTTTGCATTCACCAATGTGAATTCCTGCGGCGATTCATCACAATCGGACTTTGTTCGAATCTTTCGTTTATTGAGATCGATGCGGAAAGTGCTCCAACAGCTGCTCCACGAAAGGAGCAACTAACTTACCAGAAGCTGATATCCTTGACATGCAGCCATGATCATCTCGAATTTTTTCGAGTCCTGCACATTGGAGCACTGCACGCGGCCTTCGGAACGACAGCGGCAACCGAATGGGAGTAGATATTCATCTCGTGGACAAGCAACATCTGCAGCGGACACCACAGACAGGATGGGAAGCAGAATAACACCGAGCTGGAATACATCCGACCCATAAACCTCTCTGGGAATTCCGACCGAAATATCCTTGTAGCGCCAAGCATCAGCCAGTGCATCGGCATGGCGTCTTTTGGGGAACGAAGACCCTGAATGGAGGTCAAACATGAGATCAAAACATCAATAAGGGTTCTCACCAACATTTCTGCTTGGAGCTAGCAGAACCGCCGATCTATCACGAAGACGTAGTAAGAGAATTCGTTTTGGGAGAACGCCCATACGAGATTTGGATGAGCTTAACCCGAGATACCCGCTCGTCGAAGCAGATTTAAGTTCACCGACGCGACGCCTCGCAGTATCGAATCCTTTCTTCCTATCGCTTCTCTATGATCTTTGTGACTCCCAATGTCTCGAGCCTGCTTACACATATATGGAGTATCGTATGTAAAACTGCTTTCCTGTAAGCCCAAGGCGCTCTACGATATCCCGGGGACATTCATTATAGGTTTTGACTGGAGCATTATTGAGTTTTTTTTTCGAGACCTCCAGCCGTCCCGGGACCGTCAAAGGAAGCTTGCGCCACACTCCCAGTATTCCTCAAGGAACTGATCCTGTTGCCTGACTCGATGGCTCCCGGTAGCCATGCGGTCTCGCGTGGAAGCATTGTTCCCAATGGTGCCAGGCTTGCTCGGTATGTATCAAGGAAGTAGCATTTCCGGATTCCGGGAACGCTCGATGGGATCGCCGTCGTCGCAGAGCGCCTGGTGCGGGCGTGCTATCAGTCGAAAATAGGTATGTATTCAAAACTTTCGTCAGCGTTGCCGGCCGCGCATTGCTACGGCTTTGATGAGCGCGGCTCATAGATATGAGTCGATGGATTGACCAATCAGCGAGAAAAATTCGTTTTCGATTTTTTTTCCCAATGATTCTGAGCCCTCGATCTCTCGCCATTGCCTACATCCTGTTGCTGTCGGATGAAATCTCATTCAGTCCTTGGGTTTCGAAAGTGTCGCATCCAAAACCAAACGCGGTCGAGTTCCGGAAAAGATGTTCGAGAGAGTCCAGCCCATCTTCCATTCACATGCGTCCCCACCGCCCGCCCGCTGAGGGCTTCCTGTGAGAAGGGTACACACCCTCTGGAAAGTCACAGATGAGTCGCAGGTTCGCCGGTCTCTTCCTCAACCCTCTCGGTCGAGAATCACCAAATGTTCCTCCCGGAGGACATATGGCCGCGGCCGTCCTGCGCGCTCCCAGCCCCGAAGTTCCACTGCAGGGAAGTGGAACCTCATTATCTCGGTCCTCCGCGACACTTTCGCGGAAACTGCGGTGCCAATCATGTTTTCCACAGGAGGGTTCACTACAGCCCAACTGATATCTGGAAATCTAGACTGCTGTAATTTGACGAACATCCACGACCAATTCCAAAAATTTTCCGTCCCGCCCCCGAGACCTCCCAGAACGAGGATCCTGTGATATTGACGATTTCCTCAGGGTTCGCCCCGATTCCGAAAATCCCCACGGGCATGGGACGGGCGGCTCCAGCTGACCAAAGCCCGGCTGGTTTTCTATAGAAGCCGGCAATCCTTCTGAATCCAGTATCGCGACGCTCGAAGACGCAAACCGCGGGCGGCGATACAGTGCTTTTCTACATGCTCAGATCGAGACGCGTTCGGAAGGAAAAACGATCTTTCGCCAGTTGGACGCGGGGAATCTGGGGATATGTTGTTCTAGAAGTGAGAAAGAAACGCGGGATCGACCTCCGCTTCTGAGGAATCGCCTCGAGGACTTCCTTCACCTGACAAGGATATACCGACATATCTATGACTCGCCCTCTAGACGCAAGGGGAAGTCTTGTCAATTCATAGGTGTCTCCGTCGCAAATCCGGAAGGCCGGTGAACTTGCTTGTTGCGCTCGCTGAGCGGTCTCCGCGGCGGATTGGGTTTACGGGAGGTAACGGAAACGCTCTCAAACCCTTTCGAGTTTATTCTTCCTTTTGAATAAATACGGGACAATCGTTATTCATTTACAAATCGTTTATTATTTATCTTTCTCATTGTTAGCTCAGAAGTCGGTTTTGCAGCAAACCAATGATATTTTTCTGAGGCTCTCGGGCTTTACTTCCACCACTCCGGAGAACGGTCAGTCGAGTTGAGCTTGGAGGTTCTCTTCCTGGCGGCCTAGCATCAGAAACAATAAAGTCCCGACTTCGCGGGAGAACACAGCATCCAATCCCTCAGAACTTCCTCGTTGGCCGAGTCTCTGCATCACTTCGCTTTCGCCCACAGACATCGACATCTCCACCGAGATGAAGCGTGGCCTCGAATTGCAAGATCGCTGGCGTTCCCTTTAATTACGATGCGCCTTGCCAGGAGCTTCGGTACGACAGATGGATAAGTGACTCTCGGTGGCATACTGCCGAGAGAATCTAGAGCCTAGATTCAGATCGAAAAATCCTCTCTCGAGTGCGCTGATGAGCGTCGGACTGGAACGATTAGGGTTGACTCCTGCTGGTGTCCGTGTTCGAAGTTTTGACGCGCCCTACCCGCCTGATTCTTCGTAACTCTTGTTCAGTGATGACCTTCCAGGTGTGGTCGTTCCTCAGACCTACTAGTCTTTTGAGAGCAACGCCGAAAAAACACTTATCAGCCGTCGGCTCCGATTGCACGGAGCTGCGACGCCTGTTCCTCCGCGCTGCTTTGAGAATGGAAGATCGCGATTTGAAGCTGGTACTCATCCTGAAAGCTCCGAATATCCCTGATCTGGACATGACGGATTGCCGTTCACGATAGCAGGGGTTCTCAACCTCTTTTGCCCTGCGGAACCCTGATGGGGTTCCGCGGAACCCTTATTATTGGTTTCGGACTCTATCTTCTCTATCTTCCCAAATTTTCCCCTTGATCACCTCAAAACTTTCGACCACGATCGCATGAAGTATCCTGCATGCATTCGAGCTTAGAAAATTCATTCCAATTCGATGAAATGATTGAAAGTCTGAGCAGCCGAGCAGGGGCTCGCGCAACCCTAGGGCTCCCCGGAACTCAGGTTGAGAAGCGCTGCACTATAGAATGACTGCTTGTTGACCGGCATCGAGAGACTTCAGAAACTTCGGAGACTCAATCTCTCTTGGAGCGAGAACATCGGTCCTCTCCACGGAATGAGACTCATTACTCATTGACAAGGATCTCCGGTATCTGAGCTTCACCGGCATCGAGGAGAGTCCCGCAGTATTCCGCAGCATCGTGCGTAGGAGGAGGCTTCGAGCCATGATCTCAGGCAACATTCAAGCCTCGCCAGACGATTTCCCGAGGATGATCAGTTACCTCGAGAATCTCTCGAGGAACTCGATCTTGATTGCTGCCAGCTCACGGATGTCGACGGCGTCAAGCTTTGATTCCAAGGGAATCTCAAGAGATGGAAGATCAGGAACGCACTTCAATTGACAGATGTGACCTTTGAAAGAGGTGTCGAGTCATCAGCTTTGCAAACCCTCTGGTTGCCCGAGAGTCCTTTCACAGACGCCGGACTCATCTCCGTGACGATTTATTACGGCTTTCTGAAAACCTTGTCGCTATCTCGTTGCCCAAGTATCTCAGACTGCGGATTAACTACTCTCCTCCAGCGGAAATTGGGGCCAAGGAGACTATATCTAACCTCGAATCCTCAACTGACCGGCAGACCTCGCTTGGCTCCAGAATTCTCTGTGCGAATCTATTCGAGATCTACTTGGATTTGTCCAGCGATTCGCAGTATCTCTCCATTAATGAGTATAGAGGCACAGTCCTCTTTAGGTATCGATGATAATGAGTAGATATGACCTTCATTAGTAGGGCTATTGATCTCCTGGATCCCCATGTCATGCCCCTATCCGAAAGCGAATTCTCGAGGTCTCAGGGATCGAATCCTCGCCTTTCTCCGTCGAGTAGATTATTCCATTTATTGAGAATTCATCCACTCAATATATCAGCGGCTTTCTCCCGATTCCGCTCGATATCCAGTCGATTCCGTGCCCGTCTGAACGTGACCACTAGCGGTACGAATCACAGCCGCCGCCCGCGTTGCCAGCCATCCTTGGCGAATCGCGTGTACCCCACCCAGTAAATCAAGTTGAGAACAATAAAGCTGAGGGGAAAGAGAATTCGGGAACATCTATCTATGATGGATACTGAGTTGACCGTTCGTCCTGGTGGAGCACTGCGTCTCATCTCATCTCTGTACCTGCGGAAAACCAAAGAATCGAGTAGGTCCGACGTAGCTCCATGATTGAGCTTGATCCACGAGCCTTGTGGCGCCTCCGACCACGAACCTCTTGTTCCCCATCAAGCAGTACATGAACTGGAGGCACCGAGGTACTCTGCGTCGAGCAGGTCTGGGAGGTGGCGGAATGCACTGCGTAGGGCTGCGAGCATATCGATATCCAGGACCGATCGGCACTTCGAAGGTTTTAGGATATCCATCCACCTGTAATGATGGGCAGGTTACGATAGACCCCATCTTTCTCGCAAAAGATCTATCCCGGAATCATCTCATTCGAATCCGAGTGCTTCCATGATATGTTTGTTTCAGCGAGATTGCTCGACGACAAACGGCGTAGATTCTCATACCTCCAGCCCGATTTTTTCCCGCGGTTCGCCTTATGAATCCCATTAACTCACCTGCGAGGACACTTCCGTCCACACAAATCGTTCCGGGCACTCTCTGACCGAATCGTCCTCGTCAGTGTCCTCTTCCTCAGCGTAATTCGCATCACGCTCACCCTCGCGGCCAGCGTCTGTGGAGATTCGAGAGGAGGTCAGGGAACCCCGCTTCTTCAAGTTCCTGACTTGAGTTACTCGGAGCATAATCGTCGACTTCAAAATAGTTTCCATGGGGAGCGGAGCTCGTGGTCTAGATTCACGACGAGCCCAAAGACTGAACTCCTCCAAGCCCGAGCTGCGGGGGATGGCATCAAATCCCCGACGTAAGGAGCCGTATGCCGGAAGTCTCATCCTCGTGAGCCGCGGGGCACATACATACCTATACATCACGATCTTGTTTGCACAATGAAAGATCCTTTCAATTTCATTCCTCCTCGATTCGGAGCTTCGTCAGAGCTGAGCGGGAACTCGTCTAATATTCCTGATCCCATTTCCGATCAGATTAGGCGGACTCACCTTCCTGTCCGGGGAAATATTCTCCCGATCCCACCTTCGTGAAGTAATGAACGCCGGCGTACTCCAACAGTGTGAGCATCACGAATGCGAAGCACATGATGACGAACCAATCCAGAGCTGTAGGATACGGGACTTTCGGAAGGTCGGTCCGTGTGTCCGAACCGAATGTCGACAGTGTCAAGACCGTTGTCATACCTTTCGGAGGAAGAATATCGGTAACGGATGTGCTTCACGCGTCACGCAACTCCTCTTATCCCTGCGGCTCCTCGTGGAACCGCTCCGAAGGACTGTAGTGCGCGCATTGGGTTCGCCATTGGCTCGAGGATTCACTCCGCTGAAAGGTACTCCAACCAGAGGGTTCTGATCGGGATACAACGCTGCATATCCGAGAGGGGTGGCTCGCCGCACCAACCTGACTCTCGCCTCGTAAGACGTCGGAATACTTCATGTGGATCTACATACAACGTGATGATCGCTCTGACCACTCGGCTATCCTCCGGTCGAATCTCTGTTACTCGAGGCTCGAATGTTCGAATTCTCCAGCTTAAGACTCGATAGGATGGCCGCCGGACAGAGAATTGAAAGCTCCTCGGTCTCGCCGACGAGAAACGATCAGTGCCGAGGGTTCCCGATCTTTCTCTTGAGTCTGCCTCGAATAAGCGAGCTCGAGGCGAACCTGATGAGCTCTCTGGCTCGTGGATGTGTTCTTCGAGTAGGAAGAAGACAATCCCGCGCACTCTCCATCAGAGAGGTTTCTTCGATGGCCTCGCTCTAAGGGAATCGCCACGTGGATGTGGAGAGAGAGGCTCTTTCGCGGTCCTTTTGCAGGTTCTTATAAATAATTACTCCCTAACGCAATGCAGCTGTCCATAACCTCGAACAATTCCAACGAAACTCACCGAGACCAACTCTATCGGCCGTCGCTTCCCTGTTGATCCAGAATGAGACCCACGAAAGAACGACGAGAAGCACACAAGGAACGTACACCTGCCGGAAATGAGTGAGCAAGGTCACGAGATCGTCTCCCGCTCTTCTGCTGTCTGAAAGCTCCCGAACGATATCAAGGGATTCCCATACCTGTATAAGGAAATATCCCATGTGGCGGTGGAGATTGAAATACACGACGAGCATCGAATGCCTACCTGACGGGAGAGATAGTAGACATTATTCGGTCGGAATGAGTCGCATGCATCGTTCTTGAGAAGATTGAGATTTCGGAAGCGGGACTTCGATGGGAGGGCGTGGCCGACAGGACGTTTCGAACCCATTCGTTATCGGCATGCGTACGAGCTATTTGTGATGTGCGACGGGGGATCCGATTCAAGAAGGAGGCCGCATACGCTCCGGGAGCGACCGGGTACTTCCGATCCGAGAAGTTATCCTTACCATTATTAATCTTGTGAGATATATTGTATATCGGTGTTGCTATGAGATCGTATTGCGACAAGACCATTCCGGCTACAAGGTCGACGTTTTCCCATTCAAAACGAATCTGCTCTTCAGAATATGCATCTGGAATGCGGATCACGCAATGAAGCGATTAGGATTGCTCCAATCAAATAGTTTCTGAAGATCGCTCCTCGAAACTTCCGCGAAGAGGACTCACAGCTTCCGAACATGAGAGGGCACGATTGGCGGTCCATTGGGAAACTTTCGAGTTTCATTGGGCATTTGGCCTTGATTGTTAACCTGGACATGAAATGGATTTCGGGTAAATAGCCGAGCTCTGCAAGACGCGGCACTCTTGTCTCTTCTGAATGAGAGTTTGATCGCTTACCTCATTGAATAAAGAACGTCCCCATTGTCGCTTATTCGGAGGAGCTTATTGGGCTGGGTTATGGTATGCAAGTAAGAGCCTTTACCTGAGAAATCAGACGAGAGCACATTTTGAGTCGTCTTAGGAGTCTGACCTCAGCCAAAAGTCGATAATATTATATTTCGTTGGCCTCGGCGGCCCCGGGGCTTGGAACGAGGAGCGATAAGCTCCGATTGTGAGCCAGCCGGTGAACCTGCCGGCCACACGCAACAGGGATAAATATCCTCCTGGGACCTTGGAGCAGCCGCGTAGACAGGAGCTCATCGCAGAATTCGTATCTCCCGGGCATAGATCTGTCGCTGCATGCAATTATAATGGATTAGGCGCTGACTCGTTGCTCGCTCAAAGAAAAAATCCATGTACTCTGCTGACGACGTGGATCCTCCTCCGGCTGTGAACAGCCGGGCTCGAATCACGGGGTTCTTTGTCAGCTAGCTGAACGAGCAGATCCCTAGACCAATAATCGAGCGATGGGACCACATTTCTTCCGTGTATCGGGAACTTCAGGTTTCTCGTTGCAGAACACGTTGCGTCGGGAGGCGACAAAGAAGAGAAAGAGCCGAGAGAGCGCAGAAACTCGAATCTGTCCAATGGAAAATTGTGAAAGTGGTGTCAGGTTTCCACAGGACCGCCTCGTTCTGAGGTTGTAGATGAGATTGATTTCGACGCTCAGATTACTTGACAGACATCGAGAACAAAAGACACGCTCAGTGTTCATAGCACTGCTGCGGATCCTTGGGTTCCTAAGGAATGTCGCCGTCGGATCACGTCGCTGCGGACGTCCGCTGACGTTGACTCAACTTGAATGGAGGGTCCCGCCGCAAGCATAAAGGACACAAGGACGAGACGACCGCGAGCGAACTAACCATTGAAAAAATAGGTATCAGGCTTCCAGATCTTGTCCAGCATTTTGATCGAAAGCGAGATATTCGAAACTTCTTTCATAGTTTCGGTTGCGAAACGACGGAAGCGCAATCGCTCGTCTTTCCACTTCTGACGAAAATAGCAATCCATCGAATATTCCTGGAAGTATGTACGATAGAGACTGTTTATACCCTGCTTGCGTTGTGAGGGTGGAATCTACCGGAACGCAAATACGACTCTTTCTACAGGCACTATGTAGGGGTATCCGGAATTATCCTGCTAAGGAATCCTGAATCCCGGATCCCAAGACTTGCTCCCGCATACTATCACACAAACACGGGGCCGCGGCGCTCCTGAACTCCCCCTCCTCGTCCGAACCGCACAGAGAACCTTGAACGGTCGGAAACCGTGCACAGAAGACTTTCCCTTATTTTGGAGCAACTTTTGTAATGAAACGAACGGAAGTTGATGCGACCCTCGGGTGAATAAGTCACCTTAAGCGACACTTTCTACGAACTCGATACTGACCATGTCTAATTCACTGATGGGGCCCATGCTCCGTATGAGCATATCTACCCCGACAACTGTGGGTCCACCTGAATTCTTTGGTCTGTGTTGACGGTCGTAAGCGTCTAAAAGGCTCTCTAGTAACAAACTGACATTACGGCTAACATCCGAAGGTCTCACGGTGGGTCTGTAGTCGGGAATTCTTCTCGAGCTACCGTATTCGACTCTCCTGGGGAAGAAATAATCTAGCTTAGTATGTACTCCTAAGCTGACGGAGTAGGTAAGTGTTCTCATCGAACCCTATCGTCATGGAGCGAAGTAACTTCTCGAAACGAGTACATATCCGTTATGTGACGCATTCTATGATCGAGAAGGGAGCATCGAAAAGAGGGGTCTGATGGAACAAGCGCGCCTCACTGATGTGTACTCGCGTTGACACCAGGATTAACAAATATTAACGCAGCGGACCCTTGTTGTTTTTGCTATGGTCCGTAAGCCTTGTTAAGTAACGGTCGTCACGTCTCTGCAAAAAAGATCGGTCGGCTCGTCGATGAGGCGGTTCCTCGTTTTCAAGCCGTAGCCCGTTGATGCTTCCGAGCGGAAAGAAGCCGCAAGAACGACGATTGGGGATTTGCATCCGCCTAAAATTCGGGCTCCTCCGACATCTCGACATTTTCCACGACGGGACCGACAGGATGACCGCCATAGGTGAACTTCATAGGGGCGCCAGCACAAAATTATCAATCTGGGCGAGAATATCGGACGAACAAACCCTTGCCTGCGATGGGTCCGAAGCCGACAAGCCGGGCGGAGGCACCGTGCGACAGAGTTGCACTAGGGAACAAAGTAGAGGACGTGGAGAGACGACGCGACGCCGAAACCGCGAATGCGGCCGCAATCATACTGTGTCCCGACTCATGGGGATGGCTGCGGTACTTGATTAAAAGCTTTTTTATTCACACCGAGAATGTTGCTTTGAGCGATCAGGCGTTAGAGCTCCATTGCACATCACTGCTTTTGCGGTCCTTCGCGGCTGCGATTCCGACATTCAACACACGTGGAGAGAAGTTGAGCTCATCGCAGACCGCAGATCCTTCCGACTCCCCCCGCGTTCCATGTCATGAGAGATTGTGCTCAGGTTGATAGATTCCGAGCTCGGTGGCGGAATCGAACTCGAGTCTGACCCCGAATAGGCGGACAGCGTGGAGCGTATTCAAAACTCGTTGATTCACGTTCCGATGTCCGATGAACTCTCAATCGATCATCGGCGGTGCACTCGGAGTCGCGGCCTCATCGACGCCGCTTGAGAGGCACGCGCTTGGAGGAAGCATCAGCGCCGACTAACATTGAGGTAGGATTCCCCCTCTCGACTGTTTGTCTAGTCCGGACTCCATCATAGCCACCCGTCTCCCATGGGCGAGATACACCGCGTATCCACAGGCTTTGACCGGGCGAGCGGTACTCGCGGTAAGCCCTTTGGGATCCGCGATAGAGCGAGAGCAAATCATTCCGTGCTCGGATATTGTGTTTGAGAGGACTGCGGGACTTCTGCCGGAAATCACGCTAAACAAAATACGGCTTACCCTCGAAGGAGAGTGGGCGTCAGACCGAGGAAAATCACAGTCGTTATGCCGGTTTCGCTCCGCATGATCGGAGACGACTTGGGTCTCTCCGTAAGTAGCAGTAGCTATCACTTTTCTGGGGGCACGGACCTGGAATGACGTCGCTCCAGCTCTCAGTCGAAGACACGTGGGGCCGTGATCCAACAAGTTTGCTGTGAGATGAGGGCGGCGAGGGTTTGCCTTCCGTGGGGAAGGGCCTTCGAAAAAGAGGACGGCTGGGGAAAAGGAAGGGTCTCGTGTTTGAGGACTCGAGGGACATTTGGACGAAAGCAATAGACGGAATATCCATAGGAAGTTTGTAGCCATCATTTTGACAGCCGTTCGATTCAATCTCCGTGTCGATCGACCACCGACTCAAGTTCAATCGAACTCCGGAGGTGAAATTGGCACCGGGGAATGCCGGACCTCCTCAGATGTCGGGAACGGATCTCATTCGAGACGGATGACGGAGATCGGTAACCGAACGTGGAATCCGTCGAATGAGATTTCTGCCTCTCCTCCAATGCTCGTTTCAAGCAGTAGGTTCCACACGAACAACTGTTGCACGGTCAATCCTCGAGCCATTCTCCTCTGTTCCGTCGTGAAAGAGCTTATTCCGAAACCTTTATATGCCGCTACGTAATCCGGGCGCTTGGAGGGGGGAGGAATTCGGAGAAAACCGGGAACTTATCCAATCGGGGAATCCCTTCATAGAAGAGAGACCTACTCTCAGATTTGAGATGTCGCGGATTTCTTCCCATCACACCGGCTCGCGTCGTCTCGTTATTTGGAATGAGCGGTGGTCGAGACAAGTGCTTCGGATCTTTCGATTATCGTGGTCTTCTGCAGGACCCGAGGACTTGATCTCGCAAGGCACCGAAACGCCGGCGTTAGCTCCAGGCCTAAGCGCTTTCGGATGCAATGAAACATGCAAATCCGGGAACTGATGATGACTCGTGGACACCTCTGCGGAAAATGCTTCCCGGA